TCAATTTCCGATTAATATAAAAAAAAAAGTGAACTTTCGCAAATCGTTCTGCAATTCCTATCGTCTCGTGCCAGAGTATCTGTTATGAAACTGTTTAAAAAGATTTTCGATCGGAATAATTTCATTTTCTCCTAGATTTTTTATTATCTAGGGAAAAATAAAATAATTTCTAATCGGAAACCCTTTCAAACAGTTTCATAATAGGTATCCAGGAGACCTATTATAAAACTGTTTAAAAAGATTATTCAATCGGAATAATTTATTTTCCCTAGATTTTATATTATATTATTAAGGGAAAAATAAAATAAATTCCGATCAGAAACTTTTCCAAATAGTTTCATAATAGGTACCCAGAATACCTATTATAAAACAATTTCATAATAGCTACCCAGGATACCTATTATAAAACAATTTCATAATAGGTACCCTGGATGCTTATTATAAAACTGTTGAAAAAGATTTCCGATCGAAACAATTTCATTTTCCCTTACATATTTTATTATATTATCTAGAGAAAAACAAAATAAATTCCAATCGGAATTTACCTCTCTGAGCAGTTTCATAATAGACCTATTATAAAATAATTTCATAATAAATACCCTGATGCCTATTCCCAGTAAGCAAGAAATATTTAATCAACATTTTATAATGTTGATTTTATATAAATTTTCTAAACGTTATGATATAATGTTTTATAAATATATGTTTAAAATATTATTAATAAATATTCTAAAAAAATATTTTAACTGATGTTTTATAAATATTTTAAAAATATTATTTAATAACATATATTGCTCAAAATATTAATAAAATATTTTAACATTACCGAAACCTCTAAATCGATGTCAAAGTTTGTTCATAATGATGTTGCATACAATGTTAAAAACTATATTCTTGACAACAATAATAACGTTGTAGCAATGATTTTTTGCTTACTGGGTTATAAAGCATGAAAGAGATTTTGATCGGAATAAGTTCATTTTCCCTAGATTTCTTATTGCTTAGGGAAAAACAAATCGGAAACCCTTCCGAACAGTTTCATAATAGGCACCAGGATACCTATTATACAATAATTTCATTATAGGTATCCATCCAGGGTACCTATTATGAAACTGTTCCAAAAGATTTCCGATCGGAATCATTTCATTTTCCCTAGGTTTCTTACTGCTTAAGGAAAAACAAAATGAATGTCAATCGGAAACCCTTCCAAACCTATTATACAATAATTTCATAATAGGAATCCAGGGTACCTTTTATGAAACTGTTCCAAAAGATTGATCGGAATAAGTTCATTTTCCCTAGATTTCTTATTGCTTAGGGAAAAACAAATCGGAAACCCTTCCGAACAGTTTCATACTAGGCACCCAGGATACCTATTATGCAATAATTTCATAATAGGTATCCAGGGAACCTATTATGAAACTGTTCCAAAAGATTGATCGGAATCATTTCATTTTCCCTAGATTTCTTATTGCTTAGGGAAAAACAAAATAAATGTCAATCGGAAACCCTTCCAAACCTATTATACAATAATTTCATAATAGGTATCCATCCAGGGTACCTATTATGAAACTGCTCCAAAAGATTTCCGATCGGAATCATTTCATTTTCCCTAGATTTCTTATTGCTTAGGGAAAAACAAAATAAATTTCAATCGGAAACCCTTCCGAACAGTTTCATACTAGGCACCCAGGATACCTATTATGCAATAATTTCATAATAGGTATCCATCCAGGGAACCTATTATGAAACTGTTCCAAAAGATTTCCGATCGGAATCATTTCATTTTCCCTAGATTTCTTATTGCTTAAGGAAAAACAAAATGAATGTTAATCGGAAACCCTTCCAAACCTATTATACAATAATTTCATAATAAGTATCCAGGGAACCTATTATGAAACTGTTCCAAAAGATTGATCGGAATCATTTCATTTTCCCTAGATTTCTTATTGCTTAAGGAAAAACAAAATGAGTGTCAATCGGAAACCCTTCCAAACCTATTATACAATAATTTCATAATAGGTATCCAGGGAACCTATTATGAAACTGTTCCAAAAGATTGATCGGAGTCATTTCATTTTCCCTAGATTTCTTATTGCTTAGGGAAAAACAAAATGAATGTCAATCGGAAACCCTTCCAAACCCATTATACAATAATTTCATAATAGGTATCCAGGGTACCTATTATGAAACTGTTCCAAAAGATTTCCGGAATCGGAACTGTTCCAAAAGATCGGAATCATTTCATGTTCCCTAGATTTTTTATACTATCATCGATGGAAGAACAAAATGAATTCCGATCGGAAATCTTTCCGAACGGTTTCATAAGACCGGAATTAATTCGCGCTCTAGTTTCGCTCCGTCTTAATTTACTCGACTGAGAAATGACAGACGAGAAAGGACGGACGGATGAGGAAATAAAAGAACCGAAAGCGAGAAGGTGTCAATGTCGCGCGCTCACACGAGGCGCGGAAAAAGAGGTTAGGAACGGAAGAAGGTGCGCGCGGGAAAGAAAGCGAGAGGGAGAGAGAGTAAGCGAGAGAGACGGAGAATATCGAATATATCTTTCGGACACGCGAGAGGAGTTTTTCGTGCGCTCCATCATCCTATCGGAGGCGCTCCTATTCGTCGTAGCTCCTTTTCGTTTCGAGGTCAAAAGACGCCGCGTTACGCGACACACGAAGAAGATAGAGAGAGAGAGAGATAGAGGAAGGGGAATACCCGGAGGGGGGGAGGGATCGGTCGTGCGAATACGTGTGAAATTTACACGGCTCGAACGCTCGGTTTCCGTTTTACTCGCTTGCGCGCGTCGACTAGATAGATAAATAGACAGATAAATGTGGATCAAAGCCGAATATTACATCACACTTTCTCGCGCTCCCTCGCGACTCCAGACGGTTATCGTCGTCGTTCTGGCGCTTGTTTCGAGGAAAAAAAAAAAAAAAAAAAAAAAAAAAAGACGAAACCCGGCATTGCGACGGCAACGTCGGAAGTTGCGAATATTCGACTTCGCGCGAGAGACGGACGGAGACGGAAAAAGAGCGAGAGGGAGAGACTCGCGGGCAAAGGAGCAAGAGAGAGAGAGAGAGGGGCTATCCTCTCGGCCGACATGCACTCGGCCATCTTGGATCCTGGGTGCCGTTGGGAAAAATAGCGATTCTCGGTCGCGCGCGACGCGACTTTGACAGGCGACCGGAGGAGCTCCTCGCGGATGACGCTCCTCGTCCTGACGGCACCCTACGGCCCCACGCTCTCGATTTCCTCGCGATAGGGAATAAAACACAACACCACCGTTTCCCGGGGCCCGCGCGAGCGAGACGGAGCACGGTGGGAGGGAAGGGAATTTCGGGACGTCTCCTTCGAGGTTCGCACGTCGCGGGAGAATCACAATCCTAAAGAGTAACGTCACGAGGGAATGGGAGGAAAGAATGAAAAAAAAAAAAAAAAAGATGTCGGTTAGCGGTGCGATCCGCGTACACGTTTCGTCCGCTGGACGCCGCCAGGGTTTGAACGAGATGGAGGAGAAAGAGAGAGAGAGAGAGAGAAGCGGGATCGGCGCTTATTCCGCTGCCGGCTGGCGTTTCCTTACTTTGCGGCTGATCGTCCAGGCTCTCCCGGTCGGACATTGCGCTTGTCGCGGCACGCTCCTCTCTTGGTGAAAAACTCTCCTCCACGCGTCGTCGTCCCTTGACGTCTCTCTTCTCAGCGGCGGGGCCCCCCGGCGATCGGAGAGCGCGAGAAGAACAGGCGAGAGAAAGAGAGAGAAAGAGAAAGAGAAGGAGATCCCTCTTCGATGCACACACACTTGGAGGCTTGCGCGCGAGAGCTCTCCGCCGACGACAACGACGAAGACGACGTTGACGACAATCGAGCCCTTCTCTCTCACACAAAAACTATATATATATATATATATATAATCCCTTCGCTCTCTTCTCCGGCACGGCACTCGTGCGAACTCCTGCACTTCCTTTCCTCTTCCTTTCCTTCGTTTCTTCCTTCCTTCCTTCCTTCACACACCTTCGGCCCGCGACCGCCGACCGTCCGACCGACCGACCGACCGAGACCGACCGTCCGTCCACTCGGCACTCACCCAGTCACCTCGTCTCACCACCACCACCACGGCACGCGCTCTCGCCTAGCTCGCTCGCTCGGTCTCTGACGCCGACACACACCGCCGCTCTCTACCGCACGCTCGCCTCGCGCTGCTGCCCGACTTGCGCTCGCACGCACGCACACTCGCTGTCTCGCTTCTCCCGCTCCGCGAGAGCGCGAGTGAGTGTGTGAGTGAGTTGCGACGCGCGCGCGCGTTGGCGCGTAAAGGCGCTGCTCTACGGCTCCGTTAGGCCGATGCATGCATGCACGCGCGTATACACTTCAGCTCCGCCGCGAATGTGTGGAGGTGACTGTCAAAGTCGGTTGAGTGTGCGTACGCGAGCTGGATTCTTTCTCTCTCTTTTTGCCACATGATGCCTTGTTTCTATGGCTCGTGCGGTGTAGCATGGCGGAGACGCGAGATCTCGATACGAGAGTATCGTATCGAATAGTATCGAATCGAATCTTTTTTCGTGGCTGCTTTCGCGAGACGAAAATTGTCCCGCGCTTTCATTGGTCGAATCTGAAGTTTCTTCGTACTTTAGATGATTTTAGGAACTTTCGTTTTATTATTGTGGATTATTATTATTATAATAATTATTTGCGTGTAATGTTAGAATAATTACAATGAGAATTTATATTATATTATTTTAATATATTATATTAATATAATTTATATTATTTTTATTGTTAAGGTAAACTTTCCAGTGGTTGAACGATTAAAAGGTTACAAATTCGTTTATTAATATTTTTATTATAGAAAAATAAGAAATTTTTTTTGTATATTTTCGAGAATAGCGTGTCTAGATGTTTGTAACTATGGTCATGATGCGCGAAAGAAATTCTCTAGTCGTTGGCCAATCAGGTACGTTCGACCTTTTCATCAAGTTTCGCGTTTCATCTATTTATCATGTCTATGCTTCAAACAAATACATAACCTTTATTGTAAGATTTAAGGTTACCTTGGCGTTTATATTAATTACTGTCGTCGAAAAGTTGAAACATATATTTTAATACGTAAGTTTATCATAATTCATATATATGCATTTATAACTAATTTGTATATGCATTTATAAATATATATATATATATATATTCATATATTTTCGAAAATATATACATATAGTTTTTATCAAATATAATTCAACATTGTTTTTATTTATTTGCGAATTTATAACTATTTATATATGCATTTATAACACTAATTTGTATATGCATTTATAAATATATATATATTCATATATGTTTGATTTATTAATTATTAGCATTTTCCAAAATATATACATATAGTTTTCATCAAATATAATTCAACATTGTTTTTATTTACTTTGCGAATTTTTTTCGTTCCCAGGAGGTACATATATATCGTCTACAATTACGAAAATGGATATTCGTCCTAATAATACCATTTATATCAATAATTTAAATGAAAAAATAAAAAAAAGAAGAATTGAAAAAGTCATTATATGCCATCTTTTCTCAATTTGGCTCAATTTTGGATATCGTGGCTTTAAAAACACTTAAAATGCGTGGACAAGCTTTTGTCATCTTCAAGGAAATAGCAAGTGCGACAAATGCTTTAAGATCTATGCAAGGATTTCCATTTTATGACAAACCAATGGTAAGTATCGGAACTGTTTTTACATTCAGTGTTTTTTTTTTTATCTTATATTATTTTCATACTTGCGCTATAATTTATACACATCCATTTATTTATATATGCTAGGAGAATCGGTAGAAATATTTGTATTAAATGTAATGTAAATTTGTATTACATAAAGACAAATAATTCTTTGTATTTTTCGATTTTGTAGAGGATACAATATGCTAAAACTGACAGCGATGTAATAGCCAAAATAAAAGGTACCTTCGCAGAACGTCCAAAGAAACCAAAACGAGTTGTTCCAGCAGCAGATGAGGAAGCCAAACGTGCCAAGAAGCGTGCAAAGGAGCAAGCCAAGCATTCGCAACAAGTTGGATATCATGCCACTGTACCTCAGCATCCGGGACTCGTCAATACGGCCGTTCCTGAACAACCACCAAATCAAATATTATTCTTAACAAATCTACCGGATGAGACAAGTGAAATGATGTTGTCGATGTTGTTCAATCAATTCCCAGGCTTTAAAGAAGTGCGATTGGTACCCAATCGACATGATATTGCTTTGTGGAATTTGAAAATGAAGTTCAATCTGGGGCAGCAAAAGATGCTCTTCAAGGCTTTAAGATCACACCTTCGCATGCAATGAAAATATCATTTGCAAAAAAATAAATACTGTCTTTTTCTACTGTTTATGTGTGATAGAATATTGATATAATTTAAATAAAATATATCAAATACAATTTTGTACTTGTACAAAGTGAGTGGAGATATTGATATACTGGCTTTTTATTATCTCATTCACGTGTAATGGAAACTATTTTGCATCTTATTTTACAATCAATTTTTTATGTATATACTGTGGGACAAGTTCAGCTATCATAAAAACATTTCAATTATCAAAATATATGAAAGAAATTGAATTTTCGAAAATATATATATATATATAATAATGGTTTGTTGGAATATTTTTTCATTAAACATCTATATTCCATTGGACTTAAAATATATGTAAAAAAGCAAATTAATAAAGCAAAATACAGAATAATTATTTCTTTTTTTATTTTTAATGCATTATATTTTTAAAGTAATTATTATATATAAATTTAATTTTTCGACCAAAGCTGATAAATCTCACCGAAATGAGTTTCAATTCAAACAATACATAACTTATTTATAACGTGTACATATATGAGTTTATTAAAAGTGCGCATAATAATTCATGCTTTCTACTTTAAATTATTGATTTAGTTTTATAAAAATTTCTATAAATTTTTATAAATTTCTAAACAAAAATAATCGTACGAAATAATACGATGATACAGAAATTATCTATAATTATTTTATTTATTTATTTTATAATATATATTGATAAATAAATACACATTGCATACATTGCATGGTATGAAAAAGAGAGATCAAAATTATGTATTATATAAATATATATATAGTTATAAGCGAATTGCGCCATAATCTTAGTCTTAAATCTTAAAGAAAAGAAATATATCTTTCAAAAAATGGTGGAATATTTCGGGGATTGATTTGTATTTTAATATTTTATATAATTTTATTGCTTTTTTTATATATTTATGTGTGCAATAATTCTTTATTTTGTCCCCTCTGTAAAAACTTAGATTTGTTGCTTTTCTGAAAATAACATAATGAATCGGACTGGTACGTTGGTCAAGAGTGTCGAAAATATATATATATATATATTTTTTTTTTCATAAAAATACTTATATATGTATATAATGTTAATCGCACACATTTCTTTTTTTCCCTTTCTCTTTTTCTACCTCTATTTCTTTTTCTACAAGTATGTAATACAACAATATTGTATATAGACTGGAAGCAAAAATGAGGAAGTATATGTACGTACAAATATATAAAGCGTTCATTTTCTCTTTCGAGTGAAAAGACAACATTAGCTATTCTGTTCAAAAATATTGATATAATATAGAAAATTAGAAAAATGTTGATAAACGACGATTTGCCGTCCAATATTGATTATATAGGGAAGAACTGTTTAAGAATTCACCGTAAATTATGCTAGAGAAAATGCGCGAATTTTCTTTTCCCTTTTTTTTTAAAGGCGGGGACAGCTTATATATATTTAATGTATACATGTATATAAGCATAACGAACCGCGAGTATACACAAAATACAAATATATATACTTACATAAGTTGTTTTTGTTCGCGATTTTTGCGACGAATTCATATTTTTGCGTTGTAATCACCCCTGCAACGCCTGCATAATTCAACATAGCGCGTTATTAAGTACAAGTAATGATAAATTATATGATGTGTGTGTATATATATATTCGTCTCCATTATTAGTACATATATGTACTAATTATGTGGAAGACTATTATTGGTTGAAATATACAGTTATATATAACAAATATGATGTCGAATGATTATCTATTATATGGCATTTTTTTTTTTTTTTTTTTTAAGAAATGCGCGAGCAAAATGGTGAACGCGAACGGTGATTACGCCCAATAATAAAAAGCAACGTGAATAAAGGCGCCGAGGAACGACAGAAGGATGTAAAATATTTCGGGAGACAAAAGTGTTGAACCGTTGCAGATGTCTGTGACACAAAGATGGCATTGCTCCACCGTGGCGAGGTTTTTTTTGTGTATTTCTCTTCTCATCTTCTCACAAGGATCAGCGTCCTTCGTTTTAGCCGTTTGGCATGTTCTTATGGTCACGTCTTTATTATTGACTGAAAAAAAAATTAATTAATTAGAAAATTAATTAGGTAGGAAATGGGTTAATAAGAACCCTAGAATTTAGGTGTAACAAACTTGCTTCAAAATTTTATGTTTAAATAATTTAATTTGAACATTTTGATCCATCTTCAGTAAATTGAATAAAGAAAAAAAAATTCCTTCGTCTTTAGTAAGTTCTCAAAGCTATCGAAGAAGAGATATTAATTTCTACTGAAGATGAACCAGATGGGAAGGATCGCAATTTTTAAATTAATAAAAATTTTTACAATATTTTAAAACAAGTTTGTTGCGTTTAATTTGACCATTTAAATTAACTCATTTCCTACCTGAATTTATGTATCAGAAATCAGAACCTTTCCGTTTTATTATAAAAAAAATATATTAGCGCTTAACGTTAATTATCCCAGAAACATATTTATTCCCTGTGTCATATTGCAGACGTTTAGCAGCAGGTATATATACTTACTTTTAAGGTCTATTTTGGCGCAAGCCATGGGAATAATGTGGGTTTGATAATCAACGGGTTGTCGCGGATCGTCGACGTAGAAATATTGTGAAATTACTCCAAGGGTCGCATGCTTCGAGATGCCTGTCTGCCATTCTCTTAGGTTGGGAATGGTACAATCCTTCACTTGCAACGAGTTCGTCTCTGATATAGAGGAATTGCAATTTTTGTCATGCAGCGAGATGCACGAGTAGCATCTTAGCGGGTTTGCTAAAATATAAAAAAATAATAGATAATGCGAATGTACGAGTCAAACGTGATTGCGCACATTTTATTAATAAATTATCGCTCATATTTTTCTGCGCTGCGAGAAAGATCTAACAAAAAAAAGGATTAAGAATTTAAAAGATCTCAATGTGAAACACAAATAAAATTTCAACGGGTTAGCTAGAACCCAGATAGAACATATATGACTCATAATTTGACATCATGATAACTTAAAATTTTAATATTTTAGAAATAATTTTTTATATTACTATTTTATATTATTACATAATTTTAAATTATTGCATAATTTTCTCACATATTTAACAATATTTAAGCAACATAAATTTTTCGAAAATTATAAAATTATAAAATTGTTAAACTCTTAATTTATAAAAAGCAATTATCTCATATTAAGGAGCTAATTTATGATTTCTTTTGTCATCTTTAAATCATTTTTGTCCAGTTAATCTAAGTGCGTAAAAACTGACTCCTACGCGTCAATGTCGACCGATGTCATGTTGGGGTTGTTATTATTTAGGTCGCAAAGTGGCGAAGTGGCGCCAAGCGTCGCGACGCTTTATCCCTTAACTGTACCTATATAGGGCAGTGTATATATAGCTTTCTCTCTCGCACGCGCGCATCTTTTCTCCCTTTCTCTCTCTCGCTCTTGTGATATTTCGCGCGAGAACAAAAAAAGCAGATAGACAAAGAAACTAGACAAAATAAACAAATATGTAAATGATGTGATCTAAATGCATTGACATGTAATAAAAAAGATAACATAATTTTGGTCAAATTAATTGTTATCATAAATTATTTGTTTCAAATTCTTTTAAACTATAATAATATCATAACTATGTTTATTATATGAAAAACAATACCAAAAAAGATCACAATTAACTTTAATTAATTTTAATTTTGATCTTATATAAAAATTCATAATTATATAATTCTAAAATAAAAATAAAAATAAAATATAAAAATATAGATTATACAATTATATAAATTTCATAGATTATACATATCATAAATGATGTTAAACTTGTCAAACAATTTTCAGATATCTCAATATAATAAATTATTAATCGCATTATTTATAATAAATATTTAATTTTATGTAAGACTATATTATTTATTATGAATTACAATAATATTTATTTTCGGGATCTTCTTTCTTACATATTTATTGCCTTTCTTCAAGTTTTAGATTCTGTTTTATAATAAACGTTTCTATTACGTAAAAAGAAATTTTCGATACGGCTATATTATTTTTAATATCGTTTGTGTTGTACAAAAAAAAAACAAAAATAAAAATATCTCTATATACAAACACAAGCTAAAAATAAAAAATAAAAAATTCTCGAATTAATCAATGCAAAAATTACATTATTTACTCGAAAGAAAATTTAAATATCTTGGTTATTTACGACAGCATATTATTACAGCTAAATTAATACAAATATATAGATAAAAAATATTATTATTGCCACACTAAAAAAATTATTTAATTATTCAAATAAATATTTATTTCAATACTATTTTATACATCATTTTTTTGAAACTAATAATATTGATTTGCCGTGAAAAAATATTTATTTGATATAAAAGATCCTTTTTCAAAACAAATAAATATTTATTTAAGTTTAGTTACTATTTTATACATCACAATACTATTTTATACATCATTTTTTTGATACTAATAATATTGATTTGCCGTGAAAAAATATTTATTTGATATAACAGATCCTTTTTCAAAACAGATAAATATTTATTCGAGTTTAATAATTTTTTCAGTGCAAAAAAAGAAAAAAAGAAACGTCACCTGATTGAACCGCCAGAATGAGGGCTGAAGCCACGAGCAGTATCATGATTCTTCGTTGCATCTCGGCGACGTTTGCTTTCACACGATGATGACAGAAAATGTAAACTGCGCGTTTGAAAAAGGGGGGTAGGTTCTCACCCTCGTCGAGAGAAGAAGCTGTAGTCGTGCAGACAGACCGATCGCGAGTACGACCTCGCGAGCTTTCCGTTCTCCACGCCGCGTAACTTCGCCACCCTCTGGCTTCTCCTACCCCCACGACATTTTAGCCACCAATTCGCCAAGCTTTCCCCCTAACGCGCACATTTCGCCCGCTCGTTGTCCTGGCGATCCCTGTTCCTTCGCGGGCGTGGAATTACGTTTTCTTCTACGCAGTATATTATACGTATATACACACACTTCAATAATATATGTTTTTACATATCATGATCTCTCTCCTGTTTGCTCTTCTCCTTTCGAGATTTCGGAGCAAGAGCAGAGCTTACATTTTGCTGTAGTAAGATTGAGTTTTATATATATATATATTTTTTTATTACGTTTTAGATTTCGATAACATCTCACACTCAGACGTATTAAGTCGCACCCTCCTGTCAAAAGCTCCTTTCGGAACGTCAAATAACTATATAGAGAGTTTTTTAATTGGGACGTAGAGTCGAGACGAAAATATTTTTCTCTCTCTCTCTCTCTCTCTCTCTCTCTCTCTATATATATATATATATATATATATATATATATATATATATAGAGAGAGAGAGAGAGAGAGAGAGAAAAATATTTTCGTCTCGACTCTACGTCCCAATTAAAAAACTCTCTATATAGTTATTCTATATATATATATTCTATATATATATATATATATGCACAGGGTGTCTGATATAAAGTGTCACACCGATAATATACAAGTAGATCTTGTCATTTGGAGACGATTTTTCCTCAACAAAAATGTCGAAGGAGGTCATCATTTTTTGCATGTTCTTAATTTTTGCCATCATGTATCTTTATAACTAAATCTTATATTAAAATTTTATTAAAGTAAACTCTACTTGAAATTAATTGGAAAATGTGATTTTGTTAATACTTTATTTCCACAAGCCTGAGTTTGCAAAAAACCCTTTATTTTCAATCGCTTATAACTTGAAAATGATTGACGTCTCAAGATTTTTACTGAGGAAAAATTGTCTCCAAATAACAACATCTACCTGTATATTTTCGGTGTGACACTTTATGTCGGACACCCTGTATATATACTTAATTTTACGAAATAATATATATTGTTTCAGACGAAAGTTTTGAAAAATTCAAACCCTTGGCGCAATATCGAAATAAATTTGAATATCTCTTCGGCGGGTCTGCAAAAGTCCCGTTAATTGCAATCAATAAAATCGCGCCCTCCTTTCAGAACATCAAATGGAGAGTGTTTAAATAGGGATTTAAAGCTGAGAAAAAAAAATTCTCGATATTATATACAGGGTGTCCGATGACTCGCGTTTAACACGTTAATGAGAGATTTCTGAGGCAACTTGGAGACAATTTTTCCTCAGCAAAAATGTCCAGGCACCAATAATTTTTGAGTTATTGAAAATAAAAGCTTTTTGTAAACTAAGCCTTGTAAAAATAAATTATTAACAAAACTATATTTTTTAGTTAATTTCAGGTAAAGTTACTGTAATAGAGTTTTAATTTAAGGCTTAGTTACATAGATACATGATTTTAAAAATTGGGAATATTAAAAAAATGATGACCTTTCTCATCATTTTCGCTGAGGAAAAATCGTCTCCAAATCGCCTCAGGAATCTCCCATTAACGTGTAAAACGCGAGTCACCGGACATCCGGTATAAATCCTAAGCAACAAACTGACGTCATTTTGACGTTTAATGATGTAAGAGATTTTAAGATCGTATTCGAGGTATCAAAATTTAAAAAAAAGGCCATATAACCATGGGTCCAAAAATAAACTTAGCAGCCCCTATATCAAATTGTCAAAATCACAAAATGAAGTATTTATTCACTATGAATTAATTATTACGCTGTGTAAAGTTTCAGCGATCTGTGAAAAAGTCTCCGAGAGCTATAATACATTTTTGAACCAAAATGGCGTCATTGTACCACCTAGAATGTTCATGGAAACTTATTTCGACCCCTACACGGAGAGAATTTTCTTTTAGAATTTATCCTAAAAATCATGTTAATTGTGGGACAATACGATATTGGAAGAATTTCTCTGATTATAATATTTACCACAATATAAAAATATTAATATGTATATAGCAATAAATTTTACTATGTGTATAGTAAAATTAATTGAACATATTATATATCTTATTGTGGTAGATATTAATATATTTAGTGTAGTAAATATTAATTAGAGAAACTCTTATAAAATTCTTCCATATTGTCTCACGATTACCATGATTTTTAGGGTAAATTCTAAAAGAAAATTCTCTCAGTGTTATATATATATATATATATATATATATATATATAAATCGTCTAAAATGTTTTGTAAAATTATATAGATATATATAATTTTACAAAACATTTCAGACAAAGATTTCGAAAAATGCAGACTCTTGCGACATTGAAATGAATTTGAATATCCGGGTCCGCGAAAGTCCCGTTAAATCTCAATCGATACGCATTGAATGGGGCATACGGAATAAGACGAAGGGTTATTAAGAAGGGTGAGACGCACGGGGGCAGAGATGCCCGCCGTGGTGGCGCCTGTCACCCCATCCGAGTCACCCTCGGCGTCGTCGCGTCGACGCCGCTCGACGCCGCCTGTCTACGCCCGCGTGCAGTTTTCAGCTGCCATGCCGCGAAGAGAATATCGCGTGCGGAGGAAAGAGGACCTAACTATATCTATGTCTACATTTTCTGCACATATATATTTTTTTCTCTTTTCTTTCTGCCGCACAAACCAACTCTTGCTTTCAATTATTGTCCCTTGTACTCCGGCGACCTTGTCTCGCTCGCGATGTCATCTCTCGCCATTTTTCCATCTTTGTCTCTCTCCATCTCTCTCTTAGTCGTTATATAATCTATCTCGTTGCGTCTATATATCGTGATTGGCGAAACGGAAGCTACTACGTCGTGCAGTGCTCGTATATATCACGGGTACTTGTTACTTCCTGAAACAATGCTGCATGATCGGTCGAATTGTGTGTATGATAAAACAGCGTAGCAATCATTATTTTTTATTGTTAATCCGCGTATAACTGTGACACAACATATCGAGTATAAAATATGCAGTTTCGTTATCTCTTTTTATTTTTATTCATTTATCTCATTCATTATTTCATGATGTCAATCTTCAACAATTATTATGAACGCATATTAGACTGTATTTCGCACGAGCGAATATATATTTATATTATTATATATCTTGTATAACATTTAATCTATTATTATATTTTTTTTACTATTCTATAATTCTAATACTATAACAGAAAGGATAATTATTACATGTGTAAATTAATGGCGCGGCTACAGCTGGTAGATACGCAAGAAAGAGCGCGATACAACTATATTAGGGTTTGCTGAATGAGGGAACGTATTTTTGGAACATCTTAATCAATTTGGATGATTGCGCCTAATAAAGTCAACAATCACGAGGAGCGTACATAGAAAGTAGATCGCGAGACTGGGTGAGCTTCGTCGGGATCGATTGCAACCGTAACCCACACATTCGCAGACAAGCTGATAACTATCCCGACTATAGCGTCCTCGATAACATTCTCTGTTCCGCGACTTTGCGCATTCGCGCATCGTCAGGTCGTTATGGCTATCCATGAAGTAGTCTGGAATTTTTTGCAGCATATTATTGTTGTTGTTATTATTATTATTATTATTGTACAAATTCAGGTAAAAAAGCCAGGTAGCAAAATGACGTCATTTGACGTTTCATGACGTCATTTTCCTATATCTGGGAAATAAGAACAAGGTGCGACAAACTTATTTTAATATCTCTTTTATTTAATTTAAACGGTTTTTTTTTTGTTTTTTTTCTTTTAGACCTTCAGCAGATCGATTAACACAAAAATTCAATTTGTGCCTTGTAGACCTACATTCCTGTCTGACGTCAAAGCGAAGATGAAGATGAAGAATAAGGAACGAAATATGTGCACTGAAAACAAATTGTTGAATTCGAATAAATATTTATTTCAATATAATCCTTTATATTTATTTGTTTTGAAGAGGATTTTCTTACATTAAATAAATATTTTTTTTCACGACAAATCATGCAATATTATTAGTTTCTAATAAATTATTTATAAATAATTTATAAAGAAGTATTGAAATAAATATTTATTTGAACTTAATAAATTTTTTTTCCAATGTACAAGTCAGTGATAAACAAAACAATATAATAAAGGGAGTGTAGATTAAGGAATTTTTTGTTGATTGATCTGTTGAAGATAATTCAAACACAGTAGAAAAATTTGTGTTTTCTTGTTAAAAACAGTCCCCATTAAAATTTTTGTGTTAAATATTTAACACATTCGTGTATAAATTTAACATATTGCTGTGTTAATTAAACTTATATGTTAAATTATTAAAACAACTAAAAAATATGTAAAAATAACACAATGTGCATCTATTTTTAATTTTACACAATAAATATGTTCTGTTTTATTAGCGATAAGATTTGTCTGTTAAAATTTACAGGAAAAGTGTTGATTTTTTATTTTATAATAAGTGGGGATGATAAAATCTAAAATTATAATATATATTTATTTTAATTAACTTTTACATTAAAACTATGTCAATTTGAACACAAAATTTATCTTAAATTACTTAGTTTTGCATTTATTTTGTGTTAAAATATTAACACAATATTTGTGTCTCCATTTAACATAGCCATATTATGTTAAATTAACACAAAAATTTCTGTGGGTCATGTGACATCTGTTAAATTTTTTAACTATGAAAGGAAGGAGGACCAAAATGTTTAAATTAATAAAGAGGATTTTTAAAACAAGTTTATTGCGTCTGGCTCTCATCAGCCCCTTTCCTAAATATATATGTATCTATATATATCTCAAAATATTTTCCTTTTTTATTACAGTGTTATTATCAGGGTTGGGTAAATTAATAATTTTTTGCATGAACAAAGAATTAACTCTCAGTTAAAATTAAGTTAAGATTAAATTAACTGATGTTAAATCAAAAGTTAGTTTTTAAAAACATTTATATTAAATTAGAATTTTCTTTGTTAATTCCTTCAAAATTTATAATAACAAACAACAAAGAAATTTTGATTTTTATATAGAAGTATATTTTTTTGGTCATTACAATTGATGACAAATGAATATAAAAATTAATAATACTTTATTGGACGTTTATAACTTTATAAAAAAACAATAATGGTATTCAGAGATAAAAGAAATTTAGCTTACAAAAAGTGAATAAGTTTAAGATAAAAAATAACTAGTTAAAAATCAATATATTTTAAATGAACTAAGCTAAGTTAAGAGCTATTAATTTTTAACTTTTTTTTTAGCTTCTAACTAATTAAGTAGTTATGACCCAACCCTGGTTATTATTATATTCAGCGAGTAATGCGCCGTTCAAGGGTTTACGATATAGGACTCGACTCATGCATGCATGCACAAATCTCTCGCGATTAAGTGATTGCAGGCTCTCTACTCACACACGTAAACGGCTTTACGGCAATACGGATGACCCGACGGGCATAGCTTGAGATATTTAAAATGTACTTTGTTAACGGAGCAATCTTCATCCTCTTTACTGCTGCACTGATAACACTTGATCGCGGTACATTTTTCTATTTTCGTATTATCAGTCGTATCATTGTGGAGCGGAAGCGATTAGTAAAGCCAGAAAGAAGAAATTATATATTATGCAAGTTTTCTCTAATTTATAATATTTAACTTTTTGAAAATATATAAATATTAATTAGCAAATGTTGTGTCAAACAATTACTCTTAAAATTTATTTGATATCTGATAAGAAAATTCGCGCTCTTGTTAACTATTAATTATTGACGTTTGAAATCAATAATTAAGAGACATAGATATTAATTATTTATATTAAAAGTCAATTATTTTTCTCGATTATACAAGTTTTCTCTAATTTATAATATTTAACTTTTTGAAAATATATAAATATTAATTAGCAAATGTTATGTCAAACAATTATTCTTAAAATTTATTTGATATCCGATAAGAAAATTCGCGCTCTTGTTAACTATTAATTATTGACGTTTGAAATCAATAATTAAGAGACATAGATATTAATTATTTATTTTAAAAGTCAATTATTTTTCTCGATTAAAAAACTCACCTTTCTGATGAAAAATGCATAAAATTAATAATATTTGCAATACGCGTAATCTTGTTTGCATTGTAACTTATATTTCTTCATATGGACTATATAACATTGAAGGTATGTAATAGAGGCTGTAAAAATCAAAATTCATATCTCACGATTTACTGTGATACTCATAATTGCTTATAATTATTGTAATTATTATAAAAGATGAATAAATAAATTAATTAAATAATTTTGAATTGATAATAAATTTTTCTCTCACACATTAAATTGTTTTACACTAACCACCTTTTTGCATTTATTATAAAGTAAAAATCTTAGAATTAATTTTTCACATCTCGAACATTTAAGACTCGATCACGCGGAAATAAGCTTTTATTTATAAAAGTCTTATTTATAAACATAAAAGTAATTGGAAGATAGTTGCTCTCCGACTAGATACATAATGCATTTTATAGTTTAATAAAAAATGCATTATGTAATCACTGCAAGATATTTCTTACCAAATAATTCATTTTGCGACCATGAATCAAATGCAAGTAACTGTAAAACTTTGAAAATTAAATCCTGTCAGGTTAAATTTCGCAAAACAACCGACATTTTATCAATTACAATTAACATTTCGATACGAAGTTGGCAATGTAATAAGTCGATTTGATTTCTGAGCATAAACTCATGAGATAGGCAAGGGAAGTGAAGCTATTTGTGCCTAAGGGAATGAAGGTAATTTGTGCCAAAATTCCATTGGCTATGAGGTATATTGCGCAAGCATGTGGTGTTCTTTTTTTGAGATTTTCAAACTTTCACGTTTAAATTTTGAAAGTTTGATTGTGTGTCACGTGTGTAAAAAAAATAAAATTAAAGGAATTAAGAAGACAAGCAAAAAGCAAAAAACAAAAAGAAAAAAAGAGAGAAGAGAAAAAAGAGGAAAAGCGGGAGAAGAAGAGACAGATAGAGAAAGATATATATAAATATATATATCTTCATTATGAATATATACCATATATAATATAAATTAAAAATATGTATAAATATTATAAATTCAATACAAACCATTATTCAGAAATATATCAAAGTTAGATTACATTACATAGCATTAAATAGTATAGATAAATCTAAAAGTAAGCGTCAATTTTTCAACAAACTTATATAAACTTATATTGTTTCAAGGTCAATAAAGAATGTATTGTATTATATATTGTATATTATATGCGTCTTGTATTTATTTGTTGTTTTGAATTTATTTATGTAATATAATATAATATAATAATGTATTAATTTATAAATATATATAATAAATTAAATTCATTTATAAATACCTATAAATATAATACTAATAAAGATAATCTAACAATGTGTTACAATACAACATAAATTATAATAAACATATATACAATACATTACATAAATAAACTCAAAACAACAAATAAATACAAGACGCATATAATATACAATATATAATACAATACTGTCAAAACACGCGTGGCAGTTTGACAGCTGTTATCGACACCGAATATCACTGACGATGAGCTTGCGTAATATTAATAGCCAATGGAATTTAGGCACAATTTACCTCGTCGCGCAGTAGCTTCCCACCGTAATAATATGCTCGGTCTCTATATTCCTATGTCTATGATGTATGTATATGAAAATTAAACACCTTTTATCAGACAGTTTTTTCTATATATTTTTTTTGTAATTTCTTTAATTATTTTCTATGTTTAATTATTTTCTTGATTTTTTTGTGAAAATAATGCGATAAATTTCTTATCGGATATCAAATGAGTTTTAAGAATCGTTGCAAAAAATCATCTTAATATGTATAATATATTTCGTATAATATGTAACAATTGATACCTATATTTAATTTTATATTAATGCAAATAAAATTGCAAATTATTTATACATTTCGCTTATTTGTCGTCGACGTTTAGATGGATTCAGAATAAAATATTGGTGATAGGAATTGTAAAATGTACGAACTGTAATGCTAAAAATATGTCAGGGACTGATGGCGAATCACTAAAACGCTAAGTATGTTAATGCCAGCCATATGCAAAATCTATTTAATATTAATTCGCACGTATATACTTGCGAATAGGTATAGCACGATCAAATGTCGAGTCAGCAACGTAAGTAATGTAAGTGAAGCTACAGACAGTCGCTATTATACGTTTTTAAGAAACATGTCGCAGTCGTCCTGCTGACAAATTATTTAGTTATACTCAAATTACCTTTTGTATTTTTTTAATATTCAAAAAGCTAAAAAGAAATTAAGCTCGTCTAATCACCAGCAAATTTCTCATTTGTTTCATTTAAAGTAAGAAAAAAAAAAGAAGAGATAATTAAATTATATTTAAAATATATTCAAAAGAATCAGTAAATTTAACAAGTGTTTGTAGGATGAGACACAAGCATAAATTTTCTATATATAATTGAAAATGGATCGGTAGAGATTGTCAAGAAATTATATAAAAAATAATCAAATAGAGAGGAAAAAATATCGTGAGAGTAGAACACACGAGAAAAAAAGTAAGTTGAAAGAGTTAGGAGCAAATATCCGATTATTTGATGCGTGTAGCTAGGCCAATTAAAAAAACAGGTGTAATGTCATCCAATTTACGGGCATCCAGAAAGTCGAGGATGAAGAGAATCGGGCAAAATATTACTTTAACGGGAACTTTTGCGAACACGTGACGCGCAAATACGTGACAGTAGTGTGACAGTTTCACGATGTTGAGCGTGTCACAGGAAGATGGACATTATCCACTCAACGTGCTCCAAACCACCACTTTACTCTTCATTTGAGCGTAAAGCTGCTCGTATCATCCGCAGCCTTACTTAACCCTTATTTAACCCATATGTTTTGTGCCAATTCTTTATAGAACGTTTAACATTCTGCTGGCAGTTTGCCAAAGCGTATGTTTATTTTTAAACTAAAGAAATTCTATTATTTGCATCCCCCTATGACAACAATCCTTAAAGTCATCGGGGATCAATGGAACTTTTCTAACATTTTCTTACCTTTCATTTTTCTTTCGCTTCTGATTTCTTATACAATTTTCCAATCATTTTCTTTAAAGTCATTGATTTATCTTACATCTTCTCTAAGTTTATTTCATAACGGATAACTAGAAAAAATTGATTATGCGTATCATGGCCTTGAGATGTAAACGCGTTATGTAAACGCTCATAAATTGATACTTATAGCAATAAGACACTAGCTTCATTAATATTGATGAGACAATCGATAAATATACAAGATTATATTATTCTTACCTCAATTTCATCATTTTAATCAATCTCTCTCTAAAAAATATTTTGGTAACATTTTCTAGCGATATAATATATATGTATATACAGAGTCTGACATAAAGTGTCACATCGAAAATATATAAGTAGATCTCGTTATTTGGAGATGATTTTTCCTCAGCAAAAATGTCGAGGGAGGCCATCATTTTTTGGATGTTCCCAATTTTTACCATCATGTATCTTTAGATAACTGAACCTTAAATTAAAATTTTATTCAAGTAAACTCTACTTGAAATTAATTGCAGAATGTGGTTTTGTTAATATTTTATTTTCACAAGGCTTAGTTTGCGAAAAATCCTTTATTTTCAATCGCTTATAACTCGAAAATTATTAATGCCTCTATATTTTTGCTGAGGAAAAATTGTCTCCAAATAACAAGATTTACTTATATATTTTCGGTGTGACACCTTATGTCAGACATCCTGTATATGTTCTAAAAGACTTTTTATCTTTTTCCCGTAATATATATACACATATGTTACATAACATACTTAAAATTCTCATTTCCTCAGAGCATTGATATTTAAAAAAAAACCAGCAAATTATATTTATTCTATAATAAAAAAATATTTTTTAAATATATATTTATTCATTTTATTATTATATTTATTTTATATATAGGTATATTATATTTATTTTATATATACCTATTATATTAATTTTATTTCTTTATTTCTAAACGAAAAAAAAGAAATTCTTTTTGTATCAATCGCACAAAAATGACAGATATAATAGCCGGAGCAATTACGGATCCAGAGGCGAAAGCTAGGATGAAGATCGATCGATCTTCCTGGGTCTTTATTCGCACATGAATCGTATTCGCAACGGCCTCCTCCCACCGTCAACTACCTCGCCTTGCCAACTCTCCCTTCCTCGTCACTCGTAATCGCGTGTTCAGCAGTAGTGTTCGCAAGTACTGTATACATATCGGTGCTAGAAGTTAGTGGGCTTGCGCCACGCTAGCGCCGTACATTAACAGTGCGCTTTCTCAGTTCTCCGGGTCTCAAATGATACCTTCAGGCCTTTTCGATTCTTGATTCTCTCTCTCTCTCCTTCTCTCTCTTTCTTTCTCTTTCTTCCCATTTCCGGCTTTTCTTTCCCGCCTTTCCGCCTCTCCTTTATCTCTCCTTTTCCCTATTCTTATTTTTTGTTTCGGTAATTTTCTTTATTTTTCTGTCAACACGTTACGGATATCTCCGAACAATTAGTGAAGCTTCTGGACGAACAGCCTTTATTTCTTCAATCGTTCAAGTGGAAGAAGGGAAGAAAAGATGAAGAAAGTCCTTCGAGCAAGATCTATCGCTATCACACTATGCGGAATTCTTCTGCTTTTGTGCTACAGCGGTAAGTTTATGGAAATATGTTTGGGAGTATATACAGTTTACCAAATCTTTTTCCAAGTTTGAATTCGAAGATGCATTGCGGATTGTTACGAGTTATGTATATACGTATATGTGCTATGCATCTATTGTGTGCATATTTTTGCAAGATGTTGGACCACGACATTTGAATAATTTTCTCTCAATCAAATCAATTCCGATACAAATGATTACAGTGACATTAAAAATGTACACTGCAAAAAAATTATTAAATTAACCTTTAGAGGACGGGAAGCCAATATTTTGGCTCTATAAAGGTCGCTTATTTTTCATAATACAACACTAATAAGGATATAAATTCTTACTTCAAATTACAAAAGTTTACGAAAAAATACGTCCGTCCTCTAAAAGTTAATAAATATTTATTTCAATACTGCCTAACACATCATTTATTTGAAATAAATAAATACTTGTATGAAATGATAGATTAACAAAAAAGATTTTCTTATACCAAATAAATATTTTTCACATCAAATCAATATATTATTAATTTCAAATAAAATTTTTATTAGGCTGTATTGAAATAAATATTTATTCGAATTCAATCAATTTTTTTGTTCAGTGTAATAATGAAAAAAAACCGCGAAATTGCATATATATGATTGCACTACCAAAGTATAAAATTTTAGAAACCCTGAATTATAATTCAATTATTACCCAGATATAACGCAAAAAAATTTCAATAGCATAAATTATATGAAATTATTTTTATAAGATTTGTAAATCGATCGCGACATCTCATTCACTTTTATCGCGAGGATCGGGAATATTATTTTTTTTGCGTCGTAAATTATGAGACTAATGATTCGTCGCGGCAAACTCTTCGTTTCGAGTGAGTTTGCGATTTAAAAAAAATGTCAAAGATATAAAACAGAATGGATATACAAATGAAGACGGCCCGACTGCATAAATGCATCTTTCCGGGGCACGTAGCTGGCGTGGCTGCATTGATTTTTGCACGCGGTAGCATCACCGAAGGTTCGATGAACCATATCCGTGACGTATGCAATGATAGATTAACAAAAGTAGTGCGCCCTGTTTCCATAATATTTACCTTCCGGTAAACCTGCGAATTCTTTTTTAACTCTTTCCATATAAAATTGATACTTTTTTAAGTTACGTGTGAGATGTGTGAGAACTAGAATGTCAAATTTTTTTTACTATGATATTAATTCTAAATTTTTCGCTAGATATTGTAATCAGAATTGTTATATATGTATAAACGATTTTAACAAAGATTTTGCAAAATCAATATGTCTCTCAATCTATATTTCTTATCTCTTCTTTCCACCGTGACCTTTAAACTTTGTTATCGCAAAATATTGACTTATAAGAAAACATTACAGACGAGCTAAATTATAAAAACAATCGATATCATTATTGGGTCATTCATTACAGTTAATTCAATGGAATAATAATTATATCAAAAACATAAAATTTAATAATAATAATAAATTCTATTAATATTAAATTTTATTCGCGCATGAGAAAATTTCTTTAAAATCGGCTTTCGTCGTTGTTGCAATTGAATAAAAAAGTCTCATTTGAAGCACGTTTTAAAAATAATTGGTCCAATATAATTACAAACTGCAATTATACTTAAGTATAATCTTACTTACAATTAATAAATAAATAACAAATGTATCTGTCAAAATTATACGAGATAAAACATGAATTTCTATTTTTCAACGAATAAAACTGTATTAATGTATATGAATGTTTGTCTGCGTGTTTTGATGAAAAAGTAAGAGAGTTATAAAAATAAATCGACTACAATATTTTAGGCGTCGATGCCATGGAATGTTATCAGTGCAACAGTCGCAACAATAGCCAGTGCGCCGATCTTGTTCCTCCAGATTCTATGAAGATAAATTGTGCGGATCTCAGGGATGGCGCGAAATATACAATGTGCCGCAAAATTACACAAGTCATCGAGTTTAGCGTCAACGGCCGTAAGTGTTAAGATTGCATTAATAATACTGCTAAATTTTAATTTTAATTTAATTTAAATTCAATTTTAAATAATAAACTTATATTATGATATTTGTTCCTAAATTCAAGATCAATAGATAGCTATTATAAAATTCTATAAAATATATATGTATATGTATACGGAGAATTTTCTTTTAAAATTTACCCTGAAAATCATGGTAATTGTGGAACAATATGGTATTGGAAGAATTTTATAAGAGTTTCTCTTATTAATATTTACTACAATAAAAAATAATATATGTACATAGTAAAATTAATCAAACATATCTTATATCTTATTGTGACAAATATTAATCAGAGAAATTCTTATAAAATTCTTCCAATACCATATATATTATCTCGTGATTACTATAATTTTCAGAGTAAATTCTCAAAAAAATTTCCCTGTGTATATTTAACAAATTGTTTATAATTGATATAGAAATAATGTCTTCATTATTAAAAAATTTTTGTATAGAATCTAACCCATATAAAATAAAATAAATTTGTTCTCTTTTTGATACAGTACCACCTGATACGCGAGTTATTCGAGGATGCGGATGGGACGAGTCAAATTACATGGGCAAGTGTTATCAACGAAGTGGCTTTGGCGGTAGACAAGAGGTTTGCTCCTGTGTAAGCAATTACTGTAATGCAGCAACACCTGGACCCGGAATTTTGTCACAAAGTCTCATTCTTTCGTGCGCTGTGATCAGCGTACTGTTAACGTTTCTACGAAATTAGTTGTTATTAAAAGATATATTAAAATTCTCCTCGTAGAATTTTATATATGACATCACGAACGAGCGGAGGAAATTAAGAATTAGAGGATAATAAGAAAATTTAATATATCAAGCGTGCTTTTCGTTGGCACGAATGTTCGTGCTCGAACAGCAGAAATAAAGTTGCAAAAAAATATCGCATATCAAAATGTAAAAAAAGGAGCAGAAAAATATTTCACGCCATATAAGTGACAGAAAGTATACAATTACGCGAAAGATTTTTCAACTATTGACGAAATAAAAATATATTATACGCATATATACATATATATATATATATGTATATATATATGTATACACATATATATATATATATATATATATACATGTACGGAGTATTTTTCGTGAGTTGTTCATGTAATCTTATTGTTAGCAAATTATGTTTAATATATCAAAAATAAATTATGTACATCGATAATTATTTAGATCATAATATATAAATAGATTATATATAGTTAACGCTATAATAAAATGATAGAAAGCGAGAAAATTATGTTATATTTATATCGTCTGTCACGATAAATTAAAAATCTTTTTAGTGTCCTTAAAATTATATAATTTATATTTCGAAACTTCTCTCTCTTATTTCTTCCTTTTTCTCTCTAACGTGTTTATAGATCAACAATTTACATATTTTATTCTCAAAAAAAAAAAAAATATATATATATATATATAGTTTTAATGTTTATAAATTTTATTTAAAAAATTTTAGCACATTTGCATTGATAAAATGTTATAAACAAAATTATAATTTAATGCTTTATATTTGCATGTTTTAAAATGTATAATAACATAAGATCTTGATTTTAAATATTGTAAACAAATAAACTGTTTAAGCGGATATTATCATATATTGCAAATGTTGTATAATTATACATGACGATATACAATAATGACAATTAATTATTGTTATAATTAAAGTATATTAATTAAAAAAATGAACTCTTTAAAGGTAAAATTTTCCTAAACATTTTATAGAATGTTAAAAGAGAAAAATACACTTCACACTCTATATATATATTTAAAATATATATATATTTTTGTATATATTAAATATATATATATATATATATATATATATATGTGCTCATTTATATATAATCAAATATACATAATTATATATATAGGCTGTTTTCCCATGGATATATACATATATATATATATATATATATATATATATATATATATACATGTACCCAGCTAACACCAAGTAACAATTATATAACTGTTGGTTATAATTTCCCACTCTACAATGTAAAATGTAAATGCAATATAACACGTGTTATATTGTATTTACATTGTTGAGTGGGAAATTATAACCAACAGTTATATAATTGTTACTTGGTGTTTGCTGGGTATATATATTCCTTCTTAATTATATATATCGTGGATAATTAAATCATGACAAAAGTGTGCATATTCAACATTCATATTAATAGAGGATTAAGTAGTACTTTCTATTTTTTGTCCCTCGCTGCTTTGGATCAGCTATTTACTATTTCTTAGTATAAACTTGAGTGAACTCTGCAACTCTCCCGCTCCGTTGCTCTCCATTGTACACTTGCAAATGATCATGTGACCGTATGATCACTGACCACGTGACCGTATGATCACTGACCACGTGACTGTATGTGGAAGAAAGACGAAGCACTCATCAACACGTTTAGCGCATGCGCCGCTAAAACAGAGGGAATAGTGAGCAGTTTTGAATCTTCCATCACTTGAGAATATTTTTTTCTCTCTTTATATTTTTTGTTGATTGTATAAACATAAACATAGATAATTTTTAGATTAAACAGTTTAATTATAGATAATTATTGTAATATGACAAACAAGACGTTCCTTATTAATTTTTTTCATGTTTTTTTTTTTATAAAAAAAATATATGTATAAAATAGCAGCGATATCTGATTGGCTGCTGCAAACAACATCTGGAAGAGGACTTTAATATATATCATATTATATGTAATATATCTATGGTTTTGAATTCTAAGAGAGAGAAAGAGAGATTGCGTTCTAGGGATTTTAGCTAGTAATAAATCTTCTCCTATGAAACAAACTTTGCTATTGGGCGTCGAACGTCGACGCAATCTGAATCCTCCATAACATCGGAATGTAGGTGTGCGTGCCGTATCACACCGACAAACACTGACGCAGCATGCACGAGCGAGAAGAAGAGAGGAGGTGAGAAGGAGAGAGAGAAAGAGAGAGAGGAGCGAATTGTGTCAAGTTGCCGAGTGTGTGCTGTCACTTGGCGGTGCTTCGTTCCACCCGCTATATATCGGTAGCGTATTTTGTAGAGGCGAAACTCTCTCGGATTTACAAGGAGCTGTGTTTAATTGAAAATAGGAAATGGCGGACACGACTGTAGACGCTACACGCCGCTTAAACGTGAAAAAACAAACCCTGGACGACGCTTACGCGGCGCCAGCGAACTTTCTTGAAATCGACGTGATTAATCCGATTACGCACGGAGTCGGCAAGAAACGATACACGGATTACGAGGTTCGCATGAGGGTGAGTACACGTCCGCATTTCCCATCAAATATCGACGGTAACGAGGCCCGAACACGCGTGTCCGATTACCGGCTATCTTGAAAATTTCTCGTTCTCGCGAGCCCTTCGCTTTGCGAACGACCGCAGATGACTTTGACAGGCGCGTTCGTACGTCAAAGTTCGAACAGCTGTAATTCGATTACGTTTAACGATTAGGTGTACCGTGGGCAGTGCCTGTTATCTTATTGATAAAAGCCGAAATGCTTTTATCGTGGTGCTTTTGGAAGATGATATTCTGCGGTTTATTCTCGAATCATTTTAACTTATCTTCTTGGTTTTCATTTTTCATTTGTAAAACCGTATATAAAATACTTGGCCCAATAGAAAAAAATGTAATGGATATGAACAATCATAAGTAGTTTTATAATAAAATATATATATATATGTGTGTGTGTGTGTGTGTGTGTGTGTGTGTGAAATAATATTTCAAGCATATAACTAAAAAATGGCTTTTTTTCAGACAAATTTACCTGTCTTTAAAGTGAAAGACTCAACTGTCAGGAGACGATATAGTGATTTTGAATGGCTGAGAAATGAATTAGAAAGAGATAGTAAGGTTAGTCATTAAAATCATGTTGACTTAATATAAATGATGGTAGTATAAAGATAATTATTAAGATCATAACTTTGACATATTACGATTTAGTAAATCATGTTAATTTGTATTGTCAAGTGAGATTCTGCGACAATTCAATCAAGATCATATATGATTATTATGTGATTATTAAATAGATATAGCTTAAAATGTATTGCAATACAATAGCACTACTTGTTATTTACATATTTTTATAAAATTATAGATTGTAGTTCCACCTTTACCAGGAAAAGCATGGAAGCGTCAAATGCCTTTTCGTGGTGATGATGGCATATTTGAAGAAGACTTTATTGAAGATCGAAGAAAAGGCTTAGAAGTTTTTGTTAATAAGTGAGTACATTGCTTCGTACAGACTATGAAATATGACCCAGCCTATATTTTATATACAAATATCCTGATTCACATCTATCCAAAAATATATCTACTGGAAATAGTAGTTCTTTGTTTCAATATTGCATATATATATATATATGATAATTATTTATAATTATGCCTTTAATCATACACATACATGCTATGCTATACTATACCATACCATATATTTTATTTTATTTATTAAATATTTATTTTTGAAACAGTTAATAAAAAGAATATTAAAATAAAGAAAATAAAATGTTAGCAATAATCTTTTTTTTCTTGAATGATTAGAATGAAGTCGCTAGTGATGAATAAATTTCAACGTGATTTATTAAAATCCGACCTGACTGGCTATTACACAAAATTTTGAACACAACGTTTCGGCCCTAGAATACAAGCCTTTATCAACTGTTGCTTTCAAGATAGCACGTTTTTCGCTTTAACATCTTGAAAGCAACACTTGATAAGGGCCTGTACTCTAGGGCCGAAACATTGTGTTCAACATTTTTTGTAATAGCCAGTCAGCTCGGATTTTAATAAATCACGTTGAAATTTTTTTTCTTACATAAATGAAACAAACTTTTCCAACTAATAATTTACTATGTTATTTTAATTTTATTGTAAAAATAAACTTGTGTTCTTGTTTATTATGAGTACATTTGAGTTTTATAATAATGATTAAAAAACATTTAAATTGCATATTCTAACAAAATCATAATACTCTATGATATCTGTGATATATGTATACTCCAACAATTTACAATGCCATCAGTTCTGTCTACGTAGATATGTAACTGATTGTATTGTATAAACATTTCAGAATAGCCGGACATCCTTTGGCACAGAATGAAAGATGTTTACACATGTTTCTACAGGAACCGGTAATAGACAAGAACTATGTACCTGGGAAAATACGTAATACATAAGTCGCCATAAGAAATTATTGCAAATATCTTTTCCACCAAGCCTTCTACATTCGAAGTTTCCATTGACATCTTTTTTGGAAGTCATTATCATACTTCTATACTTTTGCAAAAGCTAAAGATTTCCAGTGCTGTGCGATATCAGATCAAGTCGCTTATTTGAAAACATCCACTTCTATATATAGTTTAATCTTTGAATATTGCTACTCTATTCTACACGAAAAGTATAGGTAAGCGTCTCTTTATAAGAAAATAAATAATAAATTGGCAAAATCATTCTTGTTATTATAGGTTGATTCTGTCTATTGTTATAATAATACTGTTTATAACAAAGGAGATAAGTAAAATAAAAAAAAATGTTATTATTCGTAAGAATTATGTTCTATAAAATGTACCCTTTACAGCACTATTGTTTTCACAACATGATAGAACATATCGTTTTTTTTTTTAAATAGTTAAACATTTTATGTGCGTGTGTGTGTGTGTGTGTGTGCGCGCGTGCGTGTGATCTAGGATGATGTAAAATGTTTGAGCTAAAATAATATTTTTATATACAAATTATTATATATCGAAAAAAGTGATACTGAAAAGTAAAGCCATTAAAGATAATTTTAAATGAAGAAAAATAAATAATTAAAAACTTTCTTACAAACTTTGAAATTAGAAAATGAAATTAATATCTGCTTTATAAATATAATACTTATTTATAATTAAAAATTATTAATAAGAACTTATTTTGTATTATTATTGTTATTGATAATTTTTTTAATATAATTATCGATATTTTTTAGACTAATATAGCTAACATATAATTATCAAAAAAGCAATTTTTATATATTCTGCAAATTTGTATAAATATAAACATGAAAAATTGTATCATTGTCAGATTATAAAGATCATCCATTTTTAATGCTTTATAAAAAAATATCAGTTTCTACTCTGCAACCGTAGAAACTATTCTCTATTGTAACTATTCTCTATTGTATATAAAAAAATCATCTCACAATCTATAAATTAGATAACAAGATGTATGTTGTAAAACCATATTAGATTTTTAAACCATATTAGATATATAAGTATTATTAGGAATACTTCTTTTTGATTGTAAATTTTTTTAGCCAATTTTGTAGTTTTGCTTAAAAAAATATATTAGAAAAGTCATTATTTATTTTATAATTTTCCATGATATATAATTTATAATTTAAAAAGTTTCAAATTAAAACGTTATAAAAGCACAATTTACTTTAATTGAAAAAATGATTTTATTATATTTATATTTGTTTCGTTAAAGTTTAATTTTTAATAAACCTTTTAATTTCAATTTGACTCTACATTTGTGTAAAAGAAACAATTACTCAAAAAATTCACAATTGAAAAGAAGTGTATGCAGTTATACAAATACTCTGTATTATTTTAATCATTGCAATTTAGTTCATTTGTAATAACTTAATGTTTAAACACAAAAAGATTGATCATTATTAATTTTGTATCTATTTTGAAGAAAATGTCAATTAGGAATTTGACACGTTTTGAATCTCTTTTATAACTTTTTGATTTAATGTGCATAATTATGTATTATTGTTAATTAATATTACATATTATTACAATCATTATCATCTTTGTCATTGTCATTTTTACCACTCTCAGCGTTTCTATTATTTTATCATTATTGTATCTATTATTAAAATCGTAAATATAGTAAAATAATTGCATTTGATTTTCTTATTTTTTCTTATTGTAGCTTTATTATTTAATTGCGTTAGATTCCATTTATTGTTAGTAATATATCTAAAAAAATATTTTATTTGTCAGATAATTACAAATGATTAATTATGATTTAAAAATTAAAGAAAATAGAGCATAACAAAAGCAATTAAATAAACAATTTAGACCAAATAAAAAAAAATAACACTTTTTAAGTAAAAAAGATTAAATAGTGATCTCAATGTGTTACTATACTTTTCAGAATTTTTCTTTGGAATATTATTTTTTCTTCGATGATTTTATTATATGTAAATATTATTATTTTTTGCAAATAGCGCCCCATCAGAAAAATATTTTGAACATATTCCTCAAAACTCCATGATTTTTATTTAAATTTTTTTCTATAAAATTAACACACTCTTGAAGTTTATTTAACATTACTATTTCATAAAATATATATTACAGTTTCTATTATATATATATATATATATATATATATATATATATATATACACATGTGTATATATATTTTAATTAAATTTCTAGTTTTAGAATTTACAATTATTTATAAATATTTACTTATAATTTTATCATGTATAAAAAAATTGGATAACATAAAAGGACTTACATCAAAACAAAATTGTATATGTTAGAATATATTTTCATTAACTTGTATTGCATAATAGAATTGATAACGTCATACACTTTCTTTTATAAATATATATCCTGTTTAGTCTTAATAACCTTTTTATTTTTGAAATAACTTTCTATATACTTGCTGACACATTTTTCTTCTGAAATATACAAACAAAAAACATGAGAATTTGTTATTTGTCCTAGTGTACCTTATCTACAATATTTCTATTTTCTTCTTGAAATATTTGAAAAATGTAACATCTTCTAATATATAATAAACATTTTCGAATTAAAAATTAAATGAAATAAAAACTATAACAATATATGTATTGCAACATTTTAAAAATTTATTTCATTTTTGCAATTATCTGAACAAAATTCTGTGTTATGCCAAAGTTACTTTCTTCATTACTCTTACATTCTGTACACATATGTGTAAAGAAATATAATTAATTTACTGAAAATGCTGACTGATTAATTATTGCTTACCTGGAAACGTATTTTCTATAATGAGCATATCTGTGATATATTTTGCAACAGCTTTAAAAAGTTGTCGATCTTTAATTCTTCTCTTTTTGTAAAATGGCATTAAGTATTTAACAATCCAAGGCGCTATTCTTTCTTTGCAAGCTGGTAAATATTCTTCTATACAAATTGGTGAATCTGGCATCATATCTTCTCCTTCACTTTCCCCAAACAACCCTAGGAATTGTTCTTTTATTTCTCCATGTTTACGATAATTTGTTAAAGTTAATTCAGTCATTTTCTCTTTTAATTGTGAAATTTGATGCACTCTTTCAACGAACCAAATAGCATTTAGCCTCTGTTTTTGTTTATTTTCACCAATCTCAGTTCCATTAGTTTCTTTAATGGCTTTTCTATTTTGCATTTCCTTATAACGACTAAAGCTAACTTTTCCTTTGCTTGTTCTTCTTTTTGCTACTTTAGGCTTATTAGGTATATTATCATTTTGTGATATGCCAAAGAAATTTGAATCTGCTTCTAAACATATCTTCTTAATTTCGTTATCAATATGAGCCTTTGTAACGCCAGAATGTTTTTCTATCAATTTTGTGAGATCAGTACTGTCGTCACTCTCGCAAAACATATCCTCCATGTGTTGTAATAATGAATCTTGTGAATTTTCCTCCTCCTCATTTCTATTATTTGCACCATCCATTATTTGGTAATCGCTTTCATCCTTAATTTCCTGACTAGCGTCACTAGATTCTTCTTTTGTAATTTCTTGCAATATTTGTGTATCCATCTCATTATCAACATTTTCATTTATATTTTCACTTACATGAGAATTGCTAGAATTCAATACTGTTTCCAATATCTCCTCACAGTTTGATGTATTACATATATTTTGTGCATTGTCTACTCTGTGCAAATCCGACCATACGCTATCTGTTTGTACCGCAACATCAATTTTATCTTTAGGTGTTTCTAAAAATATTACTAATTTTTTATACACTTTCTTTTTGTCAGTATGCGATTTTATATCTGCAATCTATAAGGATAAATAGATTACAGTGTCAATTGTTGAATTATTAAATATAGTTTATTAATATTTTTTTTTGTTTTACCATTATTGATATTCAACTTTCTTACCATTCTTAACATATTCTGTCTGTACAAAGTAACTTCTAAAGCTAATCGAACTGCATGTAATTCCATGAGATCTGCGTATTTTTTTACTTCAACACTTGGTACATCATCTGTTTGTTTGTAACAAGTTGTGTAATTACTAAGTAAGCATTTGTGGAGATAGGACAAATATACAGCACGAACCTGTACAAACAACACATGATGTAATAATAATTATAATATAAATAATGAGTCAATAATTTACATACACTTGAATATTTTAATAAAATTCTATTTAAAACCGTTTAATTTAATTAAATTATTATCTTTACATTTATGTTATATCAACAAATATTACTTATTTTGTTGTTTCTATCTAAACTTTTTTCCAATTATTTTAAATCTTGAAAAAATTAAAATTCTTTCTAGAATTTTATATATATATATATATATTTTTCAATTAAATTAACTATATCAAAATTTAAAATAAGTGCACAGCAAATATCAAACAATCTTTAAGTCACAACGCAATTTGTTGAAACTCATCTATTTATACCTATTACATCTGCTGTAGAATGTAAGACAAAATACATCTTTGAACGAGAAATCAGAATTTGTCAAAATCTTTTTAAAAATCAAAAAGAGAAATGACTAGTTTACATTAATTATATATTATATATATATATATATATAAATATATAAACATGCCATTGCAGTGAGATGTAGGAACTCAGGGGTGGATTCGTCGACTAAAACAGAATTGTTCATAGAAGACGATGGTATGGACATGGATAAGAAATCATCCATATCATTCAGGCTACTGTCATCCTCGCTGTCATCGCAGAAACTCTGTCCTCTTTCCAGCGCAAACGGTAGAGAACTGTCAATACGATGTGTTGTCATCATCGTAGCGAATATCTTGTAATCATTATATCACATTAGATTATGAAATACATTATGTTTTTTGTCGCAACAAATCCAATAATAACGTGATCGTTAATTATCGATATTGTTACACATCCTTTATGTCAATCTTTAACAATTACAATCAATTCGATTAATATAAATTGCCGCTTCGGATTGCGGAACCGATATACAACAAATTAGCGTCTTTTACTAGTGTTGCCAACATCGCAAACACACAACATGGAATATCAGTTACTTTTACCCTCACTGATTATCAGTTGTCTGCTTGCGCCGTTTTCTAGAAAAAAAATATTATTTAAAAATTCGACCAATCGGAACGAAAAGACCGGATATTTCCTCGTTTTGATTGGTCAAATTTTTTATCTTTCGGTGCGTTTATAGTGAAATTTGTCCAGTGGCCATTGATTGGCTGCCAGAGAAAGAATTTCCAGAAATCCCTAACACGACAGACAATCAGAAGCGTCGTCCTAATGTGGAGTTCTATCAGTGACAGATACTAGACCTGATTTTTTTTGGCGCCGAGTGACGATCTTTTTTACCCTATAAAGGCGAAGACGTAAGTAGACTCGCGCGTTTGAATTCGCTAATTTTAGCGATTATATTAATTTTTCGAATCGCGGAAAATGTAAAACTTTTCATACCGCAAAGCTTCCGCTGTGCGAATTAATGGTGAAGAATTTTCCGACCGCTGAAGTCATCGAATTCGCGGAAAATTTTCACTTTTCGCAAAGACTTTGAAGTCTTTGCGAAAAGTGAACAATTCCACGCAAACTTGATCTTAACGATCCCTAAATTCTTCACTGGCAGTTATCACGGCGGGAAGTTTATGCGAAGAATCTTGCATTTCTGCGATTCGAAAAATTGCACATTGCTATGGAATTGTCAAATTCATACGCGTGAAACTTATTTTCACGTTCCCGTTATTAAGAAAAAGATAGTGTATTATATATATAGTGGTTCAAAATAGTGCTACGCTGTTCATCTTGAGCTAGAATCCTGATGATAGAAAGCAATAAAACGCACAAAATAGCAGGTATTTATTTTGATTTTATGTTTATTTGGACATGCATACCAGTGCATACATATGCATACATGCATATACATACATATATACATGTGTGACTTAAATATGCATGCATGCGCGTACGCGACACACATAGTTTTTGAACATAAATATAGATAAATATAATCTATATATGATTTTAATATTATATATATATCGATGAATAAAAATGTAATAATAAAATAATAATTAAATAATTGATAGATATACGGACATATGATACTTCTGACAAAATTTACATGACATTTATTGTTTTTTCTTTTTAATATAATACACGTCATAAATAAATAAATAAAAAAATTAATTTAATTAAATTAATTTAATTAATTAATATATATATTTATTTATTAATAAATAAATAAATAAATATAGCGTACTTTAGTGTATTTTATATATATATATAAAGAATTTTAAACGATGCAACTCAATTTTGTTTTCAAGTTTCAAAATATGATAAGAAGAATAATAATTTTTATTTTTACAAATTTAATTTCCCTACAAATAGTCACGAATATAAAATAATATTTTATACTACATTTTATTTTCTCACGTACATACAATAAAATCATTTTTCGCGAAAACGCTCACATTACATTTGAGATATATTTTTTTTTAGATATTTATGAAAAATCTGTATAAAATACTGTCACAAGCAAACTCATTTGTAGGCCAGCAATATATATATACACACACATATATATATATATATATATATATATATATGCGTGTGATAGCGATATACTTCTCCTTATGAGAAGAGTATATTAAACGTACGTAAGATGGTGCTTTATTGGTACAGTTAATATTTGATGGAGATAAAGCTCCGGCGTGACCGTGATAAAATATGTCGCTCGTAAATGTCATATAATATACTAGAACGAACTGTGTGTTACAAAGATAATGTGCGTATTAAAATTAGTGATTTCTTAACAGAGACCGAGATCGGTATGATTTCGCGAAGGCGCGATACAAAAGTTCGATTTTTCATATCATCATAGTGAAAAAAAATGTGAAGATTTTGCAATAATCGTCGCGTTCTCGATCGTCGCGAAAAGAATTATTTGTGTGCCTAATTTTACTAACAATAAGCCGAGATTATCTCTCGCCAAAATTTCGTGCTTTTGTTATTATAAATTTTCTTTTTTATTATAAATTTTATTTTATTTTTATTATAAATTTTATTTTAGTTTTTATTATAAATTAATGATTAATATGCTTTCAATGTTTGCTCTTTAATGAGCGCATATTTTTTTCTATACGCTCAATTCATCAATTATTTATGCAGCATAGATCACACAATTTTTGCATAAATTAATCTATTGATTGATAATAATATTAATAACAATAAGAATATAAAAATAGCAAAGAAGAAAATTGAATTTAACGCGAATTATATAATATTTAATTTTACTGTAACTTTTTTACTTTTTCCATCGTGATGTAATGACACACCCAAAGTGCAAATATAGTTTCTCTGTTAAATAAAAGTATGATCTTTTAGAAATGAATTCTCTTTTTATTATTTTTTTTATATATAAAAATAAATATTGAGATAAATTTTTCGAAAAGAGCAGATGCTTTATGGATTGTTTTATTTTATATACAATATATATATAAAATATATTATATATATGTATATATATTCTAACATAAAACATAGCATTAAATATCTTGTAAAATTTCGCTTCAAGATACTATAGCTTGTGTACACAGAGTAATAAAAAGAATTGATAACATCCTATTTTTAAAGACCATATGTGTGCACCTGCAATCTGAAAAGATTCTTTAAATGTTATTATATATTTTCATATTGATATATAATTCTAACAAGAAAGTATTTTTACAATAAACTTCAAAGTAAAAATAAAAAAAATAAATATTGAGAGAGAAAGTACTGATGCTTTGATGCTTGAAATAAAAAAACATGCATATATATACATATATATATATATATATAAAAAGATGAAAGTACAGATGCATCGCGAAAAAGACCAGATCTATTTACAAAATATACATATACTTAACGCATATATATATACACGCGCGAAAGGCAGGGAGACCTGATTGGTTGATTGACAATGAGTGTTGGAGCGCGCGCGAATTGCTCGTCAATCGACGATGTCAATTTTCCGTTTGAAATTTGCAGTTCCTCGCAGTCCGCGCCGCTTCGTGCCGCTCATGGGGGGCAGGTGCCCTTTTTTTTTACCAGTTTTCAACTTATGGTGTGCCCTGATTTATGATTGGAACTGTGCGTTCCTCGTTCTCCACGATAAATCGTCGCGAGTGATAAAGCGGAGAAGAAAAGCAGGGAAAACATTATAAAAGGTAAGGAATTTTGCTTCCAAAGAGATAAAGCGATGTAAATTTGCAAACTTAAATATTTGTTGCAATTTTGTGAACATTTTATGAATATAATGCAGAGAACGCATGCACAGAAAAAAGTAAGAAAACGGAAAATCGCTTTCGTATTATACAAGCGCTCTTTATTTTTTATTTCTTCAATTCTTTCAAAGAATATAAGAATTATTAAATAATATATTTATTTCTGATCACTTTTCTTGAGAAACTTTTTAATCTATTTAATTAATAAGATTAGATGTACTTAATCAATAATATTTTGCAAGAGAATTATTTTTATTTTATTGCAACTGCATTTAAAATTTTTTGTTTACCACTCATTATAATAGATTAAAATTTATATACATCGCAACATATATATTATACGTTTATTGAAATTTATAATAGTTTAAGGAAACCTTCATTTTCTTTTTTGAAATATATATCTTAAATTATACAAATGTATATACAAGATATATAAACAATTTAAGAATATATATTCTGTTTGCTCGTTATTGAGCTTTATCAAGCTTGCAAAGGTTATCGAACGTATATATAAAAGGTTATCCAGATGAAATAAGTATTTTATCTCCTTATTTAGATAGAGATTAAATAAGTTCACATAATCCGCTAACCAGATATAGAATTTTAGCGCCATTCATTTATTTTATTTAATACCGTATTCTCGCGTTTAATCTCAACAATTTCCGAGATAACTAAACTTTCTTGACATAATAATAGCTTCTTGTAAACTGTTGATCCAGCAGGTGTACTGCAAGGTCATCTTGTTGCTCAACATAGTTCATATTATCAAATATTTATGGTTTCAATCAAGTATTATATGTAAAGAAAGTAAAGAAATATTAAATTAATAATTGAATCAAAAAGGTTTTTTTCGGCATAAAGAACAAATTAAATTTAATATTTTATATTAATTGAATGCAAAAAGAGGGAGTTTTTATGTAGAATTCTACTCGAGCGAAACTATTCAAGGCTATAATAAATTAACATTGGAATATAAATTAAAAGAAACATTTCAAACTTTTATTTTATATCGTTTTCAATCTGATTTAAATGAAACGAATAAATACGTAAAATTTAATACTACTAAAATAATTAGAAACAGTAAAGTCACATAAAATGAAGATGACTCGTGTGCCATCATATTGAAAAAATAAATAATAATAATGATAAAAAATGTTCAGGGGCAGTAGACAAAATATATGAACTTAATACAAATATATGTGTATGTTGTGTGTGTGTGTGTGTAAAAAAATAATAATACTAAATCCAGGTGGGAAGGTAGAATATACGAACCTAATACCAATATATATGTAAATATGAGGTTTAATATTGCACAAGACAGTCTGATGGCATTGGAACTAAAGATAAAAGATAATTGTTTTTATCCGGGAGGTCATTGGCGGGATAACTTTCTGATATTCTCTCTCCGACTTTGATATTTTCTTTCAAGTTTTCCACTTACATACATTTTCGTTGATCTCGCGGATTGAGAGAATAAAAAAGTTCATTATGTTGTCAGCTCGAAAAAGATCATTAAAAAACGCGGAAGTATATGCATTGATTTACTCGTCACTTTATTCATTCAACGCATCTTTGTTCATACATATACATACATACATACATATGTATATGTATTTACATATATATATATATATATATATATATATATATATATGTATACAACACTGCATAAAACAAATTCAATCCGTCGTTTTCTTCCATTATTGGAACTTTCATTGGACAAGCTACGATGGAAAATTGACACGAAATGAA